TCATCTAAATCCACATCATACTTGATTAACTTAGTCTTATATCCTTTTCACATATTATAATTATGTCTCCTTATTATTACAACTATTCAATTTATGGTACAAACCCTAATTAACCAATCATATACATCCTTTCTAATCAGAATTATCTTAACCATAGTTTATTTAACTTATCAAATCCACATTCATTCTCATACACCATGAAATTTCCATTATTCAAACTCAACATTCTAACTTCATTTGTCTTATAAACTGATTACTGATGTATCCATTCATAAACTCTTCTTATCAATCCTTAGCTTTACTCAAACATATGAATCCTTACTTTCTTCACTATCTCATATTACTATGATCAGAATATATACAATTGTATCCATATCCACTTATATTTGGTTATCTTAACATGATAATATATTATAATCTTATAATTCCAGCACATTTTCATCACATACTCTTGTTAGCCAACGCTAACTCTTTTCATCTAGACTGTCAACCCTTATCATATCCACTCTTATTTATACACAGTAATATCCCTTTGTTTGGAATTCATACTTCTAGTTTCATTTATCTTATAAACTTATCACTGATGCACTCATTCTTGAACTCTTCCAAAACAATATTCTCCATTTCTTGGTCTTTTAATATTCTCCTAATAACATACATCCCTTCTACTTTATCTTGTCAATGTAGCAAAGAAATCACTCTATTTCAGAACGATAGAGATCCTCTAACACTATAATTTTCAATCCATCTGAACTATTTAACTTTACTATTTTCAATTTGCAATTGACATTTGTATGCTAACTATATAACTAGTTCGGTCTCAATTATTACTTCAAATCCCTCGAATAATAATTCCGTCAAATTAGTTGGGAATTCAATTTTTTGAATTCTAATGAAACACCCTCAACATATCTTATTTATCTAAACACTGTGCCCTAATAAAGTTGTTGTTACCATATCACTATAAATATCTTCTAATTGAATTCTCATTTCTCTCACCAATTTACTACTAATATATATATATATATATATATATATATACATATGCAAACTCAGATCCACCAATATCATCACGCATTTAATATACAATAGAGTTGAAATATAGCTGCTATTAACTCTGGATCTTCACAGTCTTCATTGGTTTTTATGTTATATACTCTAAGCAGTAGAGCGTAATTCCTGTTGAGTAGAAGATTCAGGTTGACTTCTACCTATTCCTCTACCTCTTCCTCTTTGAGACATCGAAGCATATCGCTCCAACTGTGTAGGCTCTCCACCCTCAACGAACAATCCCTCATGTAATGCCTTGTTTCTCTACATCGAAAACAAGCTCCAGTAACCACTCTACACATTCCACTATGGTTTCTTCCACAAAGCTGGCATTGCCTAATTTGACCTTGTTGTGCTCGCCCAACACCAGACCCTACAGATTGAGTCTGTCTAGCTCTCATCTGATTTTGTTCTCTAGCAGAGGATACCATCGATTGTTACTGTACTTGAGATCGAAAACCAAAATCTCTACCTCTTTTGGGTAGTGCAAAACTTGATGAAGCCCCAGTTCTTTTAGATGGTTGAGTTCTTTGATCCCCAAACCTTTCATTATAAGCTCTCTCTCTAGAGCTTTAGCACGATTTACTACTTTTTGAAATGATGACAAGTTCAACACAATCAACATTTCTTTTAATCTCAGGCGCAAGCCCTCCACAAACCAATCGCATGAATCCTTCTATGTCGGAACTAACTCAATCGCAAAATGACTTAACTTATTGAACTCGCACTCATATTCATACACAGTGCGATTCATCTATTTCAAATTCAAGAATTATTGCTTCATTTTCCTAATAAACTGATCTCATATATACTTGTGCTTAAATTCTTTTAAAAACAAAGACCAGGTCACTTGGTCACTTGTCATTCTCAAAGTGACATTTGTCCACAAGATTCTCGCTTACCCACGAAGTAAGGAGACCACTCCATCTAATTTCTCCACATCAGAACAGTGGAGTCCCTCTAACATAATTTTCACATCATTGAGCCAAAGGTCCGCAGCAACAGGACCTTCCTCTGCTTCACCTTTGAATTCAGGAGCTCCTAATCTCTTTAACTCTTTTGCTACATTCATCCTCTGAGTAGAGGAATTAGGAGGCTGTTAACGCGTCAAAATAGCGTCCAACATCTTGAAGAAAACATCTTGATCTTGTACAGGCACTCCAGAGGGTGCCTGTTCTTCACCTTGCCTGGCTAGGGCAGGTGAATTACTACTCTTAATGGGTTGATCATCTCCCGCTTCACTTTGAGAACTATCATGTCCGGACATCTAATAAAATACAACCATATAATTTTATTAGCAAAACAACATACTTGTTACTCATGTCAGATCAAAAGTTTTCACATCTATGTTGGCATGTAATACATATTGCATATTCATGTAAGCATGTATATCCTGTCACATATAATATACTATACCCATTTTCATGTATTCATGCACATAAAATCACAAATCAAATAACATTTTAGGAGTCACTTCTTACCATAGTAACTCCATCACTGGCTCATCGCCAACCAATGTTCGTTCAATAACATAAGTACAATTAAAATTGCACTCACCTTAGCCTTGCTTGCTTTGAATAAATCATAATCCTTCGATTGTTCTGAAATTCGTTTAGGCTCTGTATCTACATAAATATAATAAATAGATGATTATCAAATGCCTAAACCTTTAATTTGATACTAATAGCTTAAACTAATTGAATGAGCTAAAATTCTTATTTTCCTTTAGGAGTGTACCGATGCATTATGGGTGCATCGGTACCCAAAATAACTTCAAATTTTTCATGCATCGATGCACCCCTTAATGTATCGATGCACCTTCAAAATTGGTCTTAGTGCATCGGTACCCATTCATAATGTATCGATGCACTTATCAATAATAAACTGGTTACACCCGAAAATTCTACAACTTTTCATTAAATTTCCTCATATAAAACTCACCACTAAACTCAACTACAACCATTTTAACTAACTTTTATTATTCCAACACTTTATAATCTCTCATATTTCATCCAAATTCTTAAGTCTAAGAATCATACCAAATTTTTCATGCTATCCAAACTTAATTCTAACACTTATAACTTCTTATTCTCATAGATGACAAGTCAAATTCAACCTTCAAATTCATTTAAACACTCTTATTCAAAATTTCACTTTGAAACCCATTTTTTTAATCTTTCATAACTTCTTCATCTTTTGCTTATAAGATAACTTAAGCTTTTCTTAAGCTTAAGTATCACCTAAGGATCATAACCCAACCTTTAATTCAACAAATAATCAACTAATTAAGAAACTCACCTTTGCTTGTATGCTTCACAGTGAAGGAGAAGAAGATGAAGAAAGAAGAGAGAAGAGTTATCTGGAAACTATGTTTCCCAAAACATGATGTGGGTTATAAATAACCCCACAATTATTATTTTATTCCATCCTTTGATCAATGACCTTTTTACCCTTTTACTTCTCCTTCATTTGTTAATTCATCCTACACCAAATACTTCAATTAAATACTTGAATTTCTCAATTTATTTAATTTGGTTATTGAAATTTTAAAATTTCACACTTTGGTCACTAATCCGGCATTGAGGATGTTACAGAGATCATCAGCGAAAATGATGTAAGAGGGAGACGGTCGTTAGGATAGAATCATAGGCTCCCAGAGCCCAATATCCATAGCATAGTGAACACTATGTCCAAGCCTCTTCATGTAGAGCAAAAATAGATAAGGTGACAAGGGGTAGCCTTGTGTGATTCCTCTGGATAGTTTGAATTTTTCAGTGAGCATACCATTCCAGAGAACTTGCATGAAAGAAGAGGAAATCGACTCCATCATTATTCGATGGATGTTACTCGAACAACCCATATCAATGAGAGAGTCCAAAAGGAAATCTAAACCAACTCTATCATATGCTTTCTTTAAGTCCACTTTAGTAGTCATCCAATAGGTTTCCCCTTCTGCTGTTTCATCGAATGAATAGCCTCTTGAGTGACAATAATATTGTCGTTGAAGCTTCACCTTGTAATAAAACTAGCTTAGTTCCAAGAAATAATTATGGAAAATATTGCTTTGAACCTATTAGCAATAATTTTCATAACTAACTTGTAAAAGACAGAACATACTAATTGGACGAAAATCAGCATAGGTGACAGGATTGTCCACTTTTGGAATGAGGACAATAAGAGTTTTATTGAGTTCAGCGTCGATAACATTACCATTAAAAATACCTTTAACCCAGCTACAGACTGATTCACCTACGGTTTGCAATTGATTTTGAAAAAACATGGGATGGATACCGTCTTTTCCAAGGGCTTTGAGTGGATTCATGTCGGAAAAAAACTTTATTTATTTCTTCATTATTAACCGCGCACTTGAGGCTATGAATTTTCGCCGGTGTAAACTTGGGAGACATGCCTTTTATAGGGAAGTTATCAGTTCTCTTTGCATCTTCTCAATAAAGCTCTTTAAAGAAATTTGAAGCCTCCCTTCGAAGTTTATTATCGACGTAACACCATTGCCCATCAATTTTCAAGGCTTGGATGCAATTGGATCTTCATCTGTTCAAGGCATGCATGGCTATGGAAGAACTTGGTATTTCAGTCACCATCAATGGCCCAATTACTTCTCGATTTTTGAAGCCAGAGCAGTTCTTTGTGATCGAGAATGTCCTCCAGTTTGGTTCTAATTTCAAGTTCTTTGGCGATAAGTTGGTCCGTATCGTTTATGTCGCGCTCATGCTGGATGGCAGAGAGATATTTTTTGAGTTTCCTTTTCTCCTGGATGATGTGCCCGTACACCTCTTAATTCCAATTATCCAAAGAATTAGTAATATTATGTAAAGAATTTAGCAAGCTACCTTCGTGCTCCAGTTACTGCGAACGAAGTTGGAGAAGTCTGAGTGTTTAGTCTACCCGACAAGAAAGCGAAACGGTTTGGGCAGGTGACCGTTAGTCGATTAGGCCGGAAGGAGGAGAATAGGACGGTGGTCTAACTTGATCCGGTATAGATGTTGAACAGAGTAGTGAGGCGCGAAATCATTCCACTGGTTGTTGGCTATTATTCGATCTAACCGTTCAAAGATTCCAGCTCGGTTCCATGTATATTGAGACCCTTTAAAACCTAGATCAACCAAATTAAAATTATCCATAATCTCAAGAAAGTGTTTACAACCTTTACATCTGTTGGCTCCACGTTTTTTCTCGTTTCTAGCCAATAGGGAAATAATCACCAGCCAATATAGCCAAGGGGAGTCCTCGGCTACTTGGATGTTCTGGAGGTCAGACCACAAGGCCTTACGTTTCGTCCTATCTGGGTGATCGTACACAATAGTGACAAAAAAATGATAGGGAGGCTTATTCCATTCAATGCTGACATGAACAAACTGAGGATGAGCTGCCAACACAACACCGTCTGGGAGGGAATTATTCCATATGAGCCATATTCCACTAGAGAAACCGGTTGCCTCAACTCTATAGGACATGTCATAACCAGTGCGCTCGATAATCCGATCGGCTTTGCTCTCACTCACACGAGTTTCAAGGAGAGCTACCATATGGGGATTATTCTCCTTAGTATATTCTCTGAGAATTCTGGGAAATCTCCTCCCGTCACTACCCTGACAATTTCAAGTAAAAAGTTTAAAATTCATGGATACAGAGATAGGATACCTTAGTGACCGTTGCCTTTAGCAACGGCTTTTGACTCTTGCACCCCTTCATGCGGATTATTCTACTCATGGCTTTCTGCTAGATCTATCAAGGATTTCTTAAGGGTTGATCGAGCTTGGTTGAGTCCTTTCATTTTGGCCCCTTTGTTTCGAATGATATAGGGAGAAGCTCTATCCTTTGAAGTATGGGAACGTCGACTGCTAGAAGTTCCCTGGGATTCTAGTTTGCTTGAATTTTAAGCGTCAATGAAAGCGGCGACGTTATGAAAGTTAGTTTTTAGAGTAGTTTCCACCGCCTGGCCCTTAAGTCCGAGTGAATTTTCGAAGATAGGATTATTGTTCGACTGAAATTGAGATCCATTGAGCGTGACTACTTCAGCTATTTTAGACACGTTATTTTGCATGGGAATGGGTCCCTGTCTAAGACTCTGAACGTGCTCCACTTGCATGGGTTCTGAGACTTGCGAACTAGTGCCCACGTGCCCAACCTGCATGTCCAAAGAATTTAAATTAGAAACCATGTGTTGGACAGGTTGGGAAGAATTTACCTGTGTTAAAGCCATGAGTTGCGGGCCCCATGGAGTTAGTGTCCACCATTTTGGGGCCATTAATGTTGCCTTGTTTTCCATTTTTATTTTATGGTCATTGAACATGAATGCCTGAAGATTGATTGGTCTTTTGGTGACACCTCACGTCATTTACGGGCGAAGATTGAGGTTGAGTGGCCATGATTTTATTGCTTTCACTAATTGTGGGATGGATCTTGGGTAATATATTATTACCGTTCGCCTCGATATCCAATTCGATTTGACTAGGCGTCTTTCCATTCTTTGGGATTCCTCAATTAAGGCATCATATCGTGTTCCAAATTTCTTGGTTCCCTTATTCTGTTGATTTCTTCGATCCGTCGAACGTTTGTTTTCGACGTCGCTTTTCAACCACCATCCAAGGTCCGTATGGGGCCAAAATCGAATTGTTTAGATCTTTGTTGTTGTTTACAGCGTTCGCCCGCCCCATTGTTGGCTTGCGTGTTAATGGGGTCTGAGGTAATATTGGAACAAGTAGACTGGTTCTGTTCTGTGCATTCATGGCTTTGGTTGGCTAGCTCGCAAGTCTCTTTCAGGTGACCAAACCTGCCACAAGAAAAGCAAATAAGCGGAAGATTCTCGTATTCAACCATTTGAATCTTCTCGCCTACCACCACTTTGGAAACTAGAAGTTTTGTCAGGTTCACAGTGACTGCTATTCTGGCAAAACGTCTTCTGTTGCTAGTGTCTTTGTGGAAATCTAACTTAGCAGCCTTTCCGATGAGATTCCCAATGCTATTGAGAACCTTCCTGTTATAAAGATATTCCGGTAGCCCTGGAAGTCGGATCCAAGCAACAACGGTGGTAGGATACGGTTGGGATGTACGAAAGTCAAAAGTCCATGGTTACACTGTGAATTGGCCAAAAACAATCCAAGGATCCTCTGCCAACACTTTGATATAGTCTTCATCTGATTGAAACCGGGCAAGGAAATATCCGTGTTCCAGGTCCATAAGCGTGAAGGGACGGAATGGTTTCCATAAGGTAAACCTTATTATTTAGGACATTTAGTCCTCGTCGGAGATGTCAATCTCTTCTTTGATGAAGTCATTTGGTGTGCCATTCTCAGTATCGATCCGGTATTTTCCGGCTAGGATTGCAGCATATGAGGGGGCCGATTTAACTTGATTCTCTGTTTCGGTGGATGGTGTCTGGTCTTCCGTTGCCATTTCAACATCATGGACGAATTGATCCCCCGGTTCTTTGAATCTCACCTTCTTAGTGGCGTCGTCTTCTTCCTGAACCACCCTGGCAGAGACAACGGCTTCTCTTTCACTTTGTATGAAGACATCTTACGTGAAAAAAAATGTATGGTATATTTACGATGCAGTGCTACTTTATTTATGTGTGTTGTTTTTACTAGGGAAAAGAATGTTTACGGTAGTAGTAGGTGCGAGTACTTGGGTGGAGCCGAAAATTTTAAGTTAATTTAATGAAATTTAATTCTATTCTAATTTACTTTTTAGAATTTAATTAAGTTTAGCTTTTATATAAGAATAATTCTTGTATAAGTGAAACTCAAAAACATACATATAAAGACGTCAAAGGGTCGGGTTTTTGGTCGACTTGACCCGAAAATATGCACCCTCCACCTGAATCATGCTCGACCCAAAAATTTTATGCCCTCTATCGACTCGACCCGAAAATATTGTTGGGATTATTGAAGCTCAATTTGAACAACCAAAAAAAGTACAAGAGTGATGAATTGGCAAATTGTGTTTAGGGAGTAAGGAGAAAGAAAAGATATACAATTTGGCACAACGATTTATAATGGTTCGACTTCTCAACTAAGTCTACATCCACTACATAAGCTCTTCACTTAGAATTTTCCAACAAATCTACTAATTTGTTATTTCTTTTTCAAGGACAAAGAGATAACCTTTACACAACTCACTAGCTTTTCAAAGGCTCAACAAGAACCAAAACCCCTTTACAAGGAAAAAGATGTAAACAAAGAAAACCTCTAAAAAAAGAAGATGTTTACAAAGAATTAAAGCTCACAAGAACAAATATTTACAAGAGAATATGAATAAAAACTCTTCTCTTGTGTTTGATTGCTTGGATAGGTGTTCTAACCTTCTTCAAGTGTCTTCAACTTGTTATATGTTGAATATTTGTAGTCGTTCTAGCCTTTGGGGATAATTTCTAGCCGTTTGGGGATGTTTTCTCTGCAAATAAACTGCCCAGTACAGAGGGTATCAATACTCCTATACATTTTATTATTATTATTATTAATATTTATCATTATTAATATTATTATTATTATTATTATTAGTATTTATTTATTATTAATATTATATATATTATTATATTATTATTATTTAATAAATAATTACAACTGGACCGGCCCAGTTACAAGCCAACTAGAACCGGTCCAGCCAACCAGAAACCCTAAACAAATTAGTAAGGTTTCAGCTAGGGTTTCTAAACCCTAGCCACACCCCCGCCTCTGATGCTTCCAGATCCCAGCCGCCGCCTCACTGCCAAGTGTCCAATGGCCCACTGCCCGACGCCTCCGCCGCTGCCACGTCCCGAATGAAGGCTCCAGAAGATCAACGCCGCCGTCCACGCCAAGGCTACGGGTGAGTCACCACTGGTAGTCCGGTGACTCACCAAAGCCCTCTCTTCGGACCGGTCCGATGACCGCACCGGTGTGGCTATAAAAGCCACCACCCACCTGAAAAAAAAAAAGGAGAGAGCAAAAGAGAAAAAACAGAAAGAAAAATACAGAGAAAAATAACAACAACAACACTACCAACGATCCCAGTCCACAGCAGCAGAGCAAAAATAAGAAAGAGAGAAGAGAAGCTTACCAAGGAAGCTTTGACCACCACCGGAATCACTGAACATCGGAAAATCAAAAATACCGAAGGTATTTACAGATCTGCTCTGATTGGGAGCCATTTAAGGAAAAACATCGGAACCGTCCTTAGGACGGTCCGATCTATCTACTAGTATAAGAATAATTTTTTCCGGCCACCGATGCGGTGGCCGCGGTGACATTCACGGCGGCACACGGTGGCCGACCGATGACCGGCTTCCCTCCGGTGAGGGAAGCTAGAGAGAAGGCAGAGAGTTTGAAACTCTCTCGGTTTAGAGAGAGAGAAGAAATGAGGAATGAAATGGTTGGCCCTTCGGGCCAGCCGATATTGGACATTTATAGTCCTTCCCGAACGACGTCGTTTCGGGAAGGACTATGCGCGTAATTACAAATAATTAAATCCCTTCCGCAGTCCTTAGTACTTGTAAACTTACATTTTAGTCACTAAATTGAATCCAAAATTCATTATGATGAACTAAAAATTATGAAAAATCATTAAGCTTTAAAATGTTCATCATAACATATTTCAACATACATGATATAAAATTATTTAAAATCAAAGCTCATGCATGCTTAAATCAAATGAACAACCAATTAATCAAAGCAAAAACATTAAGCTTAGGGGTTACCCATTCCTTTTCAAGTGTGGTTAGAGCATTTGAGTATCATCACTTTCATCACCATTGCTCCCACACTCCTACAAGACATATAAGTGTTTTGTATCCAAATTGCTTTGGAGCCTTGGATGTTAGTTTCAATGCATATTGTTCACTTAGGAACCCATATTTGTCTAATTTTAAAAGATTTCTTTTCTTTATAGGACAAGCATGTTCCATGTGACCATGAAAATGACAATGTGAGGCTTTTTCCATTTTTAAACATAATGAGTTGTTTTTAGAATTAATTCTTTTTCTTTAGTTAAGCTCTCAAGTTTAACTTTCAAATCAAAATTTTCTTTTTCTAATCTTGATTTTGACTTTTGAAAGCTCTAATCATTTTTCAAAGATTCATTTTGTTTTCAAAATCATGTTTGCTTTCAAAACCAAATCATTTTCAACTTTAAGTTTGAAATTAATTTCTTATATTTGGAATTCATGGTCTCAAATTACAATACAACTCATTGTAAGCACTTGTAACTCACAAAATAATAAGAATCTAATTCATTTGAGCTAGAAGTTACTAAAATATTCTCTGATGCTATGAGGCATAGATGGCTACGTCAATTCATCATTAGAGTCATCTTCATCACTCCAATCCACCACAAATGCCTTTTTCTTGCTTGATCCCTTCTTTTTTAGGAGGGACTTCATACTTGACATGCCTCGTTCCTTGACATTCGAAGCACATCGGGGGACTCTTCTTTTGCTCGATTCATGCTTTACTTTCTTAAAAGTCATGAATCTCTTAAATCTTTTGAAGAGCTTGGCCATCTCTTCTTCATCATCATCGTCTTCATCCACCTCTTCATTTGAATCTTGATTGCTCTCATTGGTGGATTTGAAGGCAATGCATACCTCATTTTTTTTTATTGTTTGCTTCTTTTCATCTCTTCCTTTTCCTTCACCATCAACTCATGAGTGAGAAGAGAACCATAAGCTCATCGAGAGTAAAGGACTTTAGGTTTTTAGCTTCAATAATCGCTGTCTTCTTCGATTGCCAAGA